GGACATATCTATAAATCACTACATAATTCTCATAATTGTGTACATGTAAGAAAATGATGCACAGGGTGTACATGTATATAAATTTAGAGCAAACCATTTTTATATTGTCACTTAAGTTAGTAATCAAAACTGAAGGGTTTTCTATCTTTGGGTAAATAATGAAGAAGAAGATAATGAGGTACTAATCAAATAATTTAGGATCACTGTATAATTTGGAAGATTCACATTTTTTTTACGTTTAAGAAAATTTAGAATTTTCTTAAATTTGAACCATACTGCTGCTAAATCCTACTCAATTTATTACGGATGCGAGTTTCTTCATTAACAAATGTTTTTTTGAGGTAGATGTTTGGAGAGTTGCCAATACATACTTTTACTCTGAAGTCTCCCTCCCCTATAACACACTTTCTTTACTGAGTAGGTCTCTCAGGGTGAGTTTTTACTGACCACGAACATTCTCTTTTTCTTTTTAAATATCTAGACAAAGTATAATCATTGCTCAGGAGGAGATGCATAGCAGTCACTATTAACCAGCTTTCCTTAATAAAAGGATACAGATGTCTCAACTATTGACATGAAGTTCTTCTTGGAAAATGTCTGCATTGGGTGACTGCCTAGAAGTGACTGGTTCTGAGTTAGGGCAGTTCTAAATATCTTACCAGGACTTTATAGTTAAAGATGTTGCTGCTCCGAGTCTTGGAGCTGCACGGGTTGCTAGAAGAGACGGCCACCAAGTAGCATTATTTCCCCCATTTAAGTTCTATCATCACCATGACTCTTCCACCTAAAACTTGCTCAAGTAAAACTGTTCTGGAGGGTGATATAGTCTGTCACTTCACTAGTACAGTCAGATGAAATGTTAACTGTCTTGGGAAAAGAAAGAGCTTAAATTTACTCTAAGATATAAGTAACTAAAGTGAAATACTTCCCTAGGGAGGATGAAATTGAATCCACTGGCTGCCTGAACAGAAGATGAAGTTGGAGGATACTGTGGCTCCATGGAAAAATAAAAAGAATGGAGTCAAGAAGATATATCAACATACTTTAAAATTTTGCTTAAACTTTTAAAAAAAAATTTCTTTTTATGACAGTCTCAAGACTAAATCTTGAGTAAATGAGCTTAACAATAACCCACAAACCTCAGACCTAAAAGACTAAGTCTCGTGTAAATCTAGTTAAATATCTTCAATATGCAGTGTTGTGTTCAAAAATAAAAATTCAAAAAATGTATTTCCAAATCTAGTTTCTGACAAGGTATGCATATGCTTAAACACTAAATAAGGATGCAGGAAAATACAACATAATTTTGCAGGAAAGAACATGATTAATTGGTAAATAAGTCAAATTGTTGTGCCTTTGTTTCAAACAAAACAGTGATCTTTATAGGCTGCAGTGGCCTGGGAAGACTTTGTAGAGGAAGACAAACTTGCCTTTAACCTATAGCACAGGGAGGAATTAGATAGGAGGAGAGGGCTTAGAGGAGCAATGTGTGGGGGCTGAGGATGAGACTATTACCACTTGCCAACTACATGACCTACCATGCACTCTTGATTGGCAGCCAATTTGTTCTCTGTTGTTTGTACATAAACCTGCCTGGGGCAATACTGGAGCTGCCTCCTAGTCAAGGTCTAATCCAGAGTGATCAATCCAGGCTCACTTGCATCAATTTCACTGTGGCCCACACTGCCTCTTTTCTATAAGTGAAGGGTGGTGGACACTTTGAGACATTTAACACAAATTCCACCCAAAATGAATGCAAGGCTTGGCATTGTGGAAAACCTTTATTTAGAGTCTCCAGCAGGCTATTTGACATATTAAGCTAGGAATAAAACAGTTCACCTCCAAGTTTCCTTTGAAAATGAATTTTATTTCCCATTTTTTATGTCACTACTCTCCTCTCATATATAATGTATACATATAAACTATATAAATTATATATACTTTATAGATAGATATTTCTTTTGCATTTGGTTCAGCTCCTCTTTTTATTACTATATAAGTTTCTGAGTCCCCAAATTATATGATCTCAATATTCTATCCTTGGCATGGTAAATACAGCACCACGAAAAAAAATAAAAGTCCTGGCAAGGTTTCCTTTTCTAAGAACTAGGCTAAAAAATGACCTGGGAAGGATCAAAAAGCTGACGAGTTTAACAGTATTATTTATTCCTGCACAATGACTGATGGTCTTGACAGTTCTTGGTCCTATGGATGTAAAAGGGAGGAAAAAAAACAGAAAATTGCAGTGTTTCAGGAAATGTGTCCGACTCACAATCATTATCGTGGTGTCACAAGCTATACTGCAAGAGCCAGGAGGACTTTCACATACAGAAACTGAAGTGCCATCCCCAGCACCCTTCATGGGGAGGCAAGGGGCTGGGAAGAGTAGGGAAAAGAACTGAAATTCATCAACATCTATGAAGCTCCGTTCAATGAAGCCTTAAAGGTAGAAGAAAATCGAGTAATTATGTGGTCCAGCCTCTCAGTTTGCAGACAAAAAGTCACCCACAAAGAAGTTATGTAACTTGTGGTAATGACAACTAGTTTCTAACAGAGGAAAATCCAAGACTATTGTTCATTATAATTTGAAATGAAAAACAAAAAGTGCATTAGGTACACACAAGGTAGAAATATTTGTTGAGTGTATAAATGTACATAAGCTACTGAGAACCACGCAAAATGTCATGATTAATGAAATTAACCTCATGAGCAATTGGTGGAAGTGGTGTCTATCCAAGTTTAGGTCTTGAATTCTCCTTCCTCGCATGTGAAGGGAGTGTTTAGATGGATTGATCACCTCGGTACTTTCCAGGTCTGGCTTTCTGAGCTCACTTTTCTATTTTAAGTTGCACAAGAGTACAAAACCTTCTCAGAATAGAATATTTATATCTTCAGAGGAACAGTTTCAAATAACCTAAGAAAAGACGAAGCACAGAGGGACTGGACTCTTTGAATATGAGATTTCTGCAGGCAGAGAGCATATTGAGTTGCCAGTTGAACAGGTCAGGCTCAGAGAACAGGGATCCTCCATGAAAGCATCCATTCGCTCACCTAACACACACTCATGGGCACCTCTCATTTGCATGGCATTTTGCATGGCTCTGGGGACATACTTCTTGATTTTTAGTGGGGAACTTAAATGCTACAGTCATGAATCCATAACTACTATATAGGTGCAATTATTCATGCAGACTTTGATGTTCTTTCTTTGCTAGTCGACCAAGTAACAATCTCAAGAATGCCATGACAAGCTTTGGTCTTGTGATTTCACTTATTAAATAAAAACCAACTTAATATGCTTAAGGCACTTGGGAAAGCTTAGAATAGTAGACATGTAAGGTACCGGTGAGGCATATAAGGTATCAGTGATATCTCTTTGCATTCAGTGTACATGTTTCAATAAAATAAAGCTGTCAAGCCCAAGATGAGCAGATGTTTAATATTTCCTCATTTATCTTTATTTGATTGGCTTGCGTTGGGCTCCTGGAGGTAGATTTTGAGGTCTGGGATTCTCATAGCAAGCACTTAATTGTCTGAATGATGGCCCGAGGATAGTTCCCACTAACTGACCTTGAAGTATTGCTTCCCACAACCACATTTATGTCCTGCATGTTAGAATTAAATTAGGGATGGCTGAACTATTTTAGGGACCTTTAGCCTATGCATCCACAGAACAAAAGCCATGTTTCTGGGAAAANAACTATTTTAGGGACCTTTAGCCTATGCATCCACAGAACAAAAGCCATGTTTCTGGGAAAATGGGAATTAAAAAAAAAAATTCTTTAATGTGTCTATAGCATTTTATTTTTTAAAAAGGTTTATTGCAGTTAAATTTTATTTCTTTTTAAAGTCTGTTTAGAATTAATGGATGAGGGCTGAGGTGGAAGGTACAGACCAAATTGCAAATATAAAT